GATATCCAGTTTTCCCAGCACCATTTGTTGAAGAGGCTACCCTTTCTCCATTGTGTATATCCTCAGCATCTTTGTTGGAGCTTGTATACATGGACTTCTTTCTGGGTTCCAGGGCTTGACTTTTATATTTCTTGTCATCCAGTAGGCCATTCAGTGAGCACACCATGCTTCTCACCTATTTTCATTTTTGTGGGTGACTGAGAACTCTGCAGTTTAATGTGTCCTAGATTGTTGAAGACACCAGATAATTTGAGTTTGAAACGATACTTACAAGGTGTTGTCATATTTTAGGTCTATCATATGCAAGTCACACAGTTGGTTTCACGCCACCAACTTCACTGACTAGAGCCGGAATGTCTTACTACAATTCCCCAGGTCTTCACGTGCAGCATATGGGAGCATCGCACGGTATCACAGTAAGTATCCATGCGGGAGGGGAGGGCAGCACTTTACTCCTGATGCTGGTAGCAGCTGGTCTTCCTTGGGAGACCAGGATCGATCCCCTTTCATGTTTACCTTTCTTTCTTCCTCCCTCCATCAGTTCATCTTAAAACTATAGAGGTTTCCTAACAGGACGATACCGATTTGTGTTGTTGAAACTAAAATCCTTTCCAGGAGGCAAAATTTCAACTTCACTTTCTGTGAAAAATTGCCCGTTGTGAAATGTAATTTGAACCCTAGCCAATGCCTTGATTGAACTCTGGCCAGCTCCTTGCCATAATGAATTAGTGTTGGTTGTCATAATGTCTAAAATATTTATTGTCTGCACCTTCACAGTTCACTGACTCTCAGTCCTCTTCCTGAAATTAGCCTTGTTCCTGGTTTTCTCAGAACCTTCAGTGCATCTGGTTCAGACTTCACTCAGGATTTTCTTTCTTTAGAACTGGTTATTTAGCTGACTAAAAGAGCAGTTGGAAATGTAGTTAATAGGGTTTTGAAAACAGGAGAGGATTTAGGAAAATAGGAGAGAATTCCCAATAAGGGAATCATTCAAAGAAGATCCCTGTTCTACAAAAGCATGTAAGATTTTTCTGAAGGTCTTTTGCTGGTTTGATGGGCTTTGTGTAAAAGCAGAAATGTTCTGGGTTTGCTTTACCTTTCAAGATATTGAAAACTTCTTTGAGTCATAGAAAGGTCTGGGGACATTCATCGGGCAGATAAGATTTAATTTTAGGACTGTCTCATTGAAGGGCCAAGTCCAGTCGTTTGGTCAGTGTAAGTTACATAGTAATTCTGCATAGCTTTTTAATAGGTATAGGTGTAAACTCTATCTCGTTTAAGTTTTCGGTACTAGTTCAGTAATGAAACTGCTGGCCAAGGGAATTGCTGGTTTCTTGTCTGTATTGATGAGCTTTTCACAGCCTCAGCTCTCAGGCAAGCTGTGTTAGAAATGAGCCACTTGTACATAGACTGACCTACTTACTTACTGTTCCTGTCCTCTCTGCAGAGGCCTTCACCACGGAGAAGCAACAGTCCTGACAAATTCAAACGGCCCACACCGCCCCCGTCTCCCAACACACAGACCCCAGTCCAGCCGCCGCCGCCTCCGCCTCCGCCGCCCATGCAGCCCGCGGTGCCCTCAGCAGCTGCCTCGCAGCCCGCCCCTTCTCAGCATTCGGTGCACCCCCCCTCCCAGCCTTAATGCATGTGCTTAGTCTGAATCTCACGTTGGGACTCGTACAGTGGAGCCGTCTACTCAACGCCAAAGGCTTCCTTCCTTCCCCGGCATATTTGGATCTGACTTATTTGCACTGAGGTTATCTAGGCTTCACTATTAATTGTGTTGTAAATGTTTGTCGGAAACGCAGCCAGTGTTGTGGGTTACAACACTAAACAGACGACTTTTTCCATCAGTGTTTTACTTGAATCTACATGTACGTCCATTCCCTGGCTGGGACAGTTGCTATTCAATATTGGTAATTCGGCAGCAGTGTGCAGTTTTTCGCTTGGCCCCAGAGCTTCATTTTTTTGGCTTTTAGGTTTGTAAAATAAAAAGGGATATCTTTTTTATATTTTTTTCCCATGAATTTGCAGAAAATTACTGAGCTGTTATTACCACCCCACCCTCATAATGGTGTTTACCAAACATACCAATAATTCAGCACTACAATTCAGACCTTTGAAAATCTAGCTTTCAGGGTAGAATGGAAAGTTAGATGGATCAGTGCCCAAGACAATATACTGTTTAATAGAGCTTTCTACAGATACACTTTTTATAAGGTTATTTTCAGTATATATCAAAATCCATGTCTCTTGTACAAAAGATAGCCTACAGTAATGGATCACATGGCTGTACCTTTTCCACCTACATGGGATGGATAATTATTGTGTATTAAGGTGTGATTCTTTCTTTATCCTTAATGTTAATCTACCCAAACTGGCCCTTTCTAACATGAGTCCATAAATGTTGACCTCCCCACCAGTGGTTGCGATGGCTGGTTAGAACATGCTATTTGATTTCTGCTGCAGAAGGCAATGTGACGATTATAACAAAAACAGCTATTTCCCCTTCCCATTCTTTGTGTTCCCCTAAAATAGAGTTTGAACAAATATTTTAAAGGTGCAAAATTATTAGAAAATACTATTTGAAATGAACGTTATAGGACTATCTTGGCATAATGGCCACAAAATACTTTATTGCTTGGCAGAAAAGAGAAGAGGTGTAGCACATTAGCATTGATGACTGCTTATTTCGCCCAGTATAAGCAAGTGCAGTGTGTACAAAGAAGTATATTCTGAATATATTATTTCCATTCATTTAGCACAAATAAATCATTTGGTTTCA